AAAGTAAAATATTATATCCTCGCATCGCCCATATGCAGTTGAAACTTTCCGCAGTTGATTCATATGTCAAATCGGTCATCGGTTTTCATTAGAAACTACTAAAGACTAGTCTTTATTGCCCTATATCGCTCGATTTAGGCGCGGGTGTTTATATGACAGGAGAATCCAAAATGGTCCCGTCCATTAAGAACTGTTCGTATTAATTCGGTACTCAAACAATTTACATTTCAAGAATGTTTGTTGTTGGGAAATATTAAATCGCTAAGTGTTTTCATATAGCGGCCCCTTTAGAACAAGGCGTTAGGTATGGAAAGAACATAAAATATACCCCTACACCAAAAAAAGTCAATACATCAAATTTCATCAACATATCACAAGCGGATGAACAGACATAGTTAAATTGCTTTAGAAATTAGTTCAAAGACGATTAATATAGATAAAGTTGGCTCTATTTCGAATGCTGCATTCAAACATTTATATACGCTTACGACAAGCGATGTAGTCTATAAACGCAAAGTGTAGACGGCTTTCGAGGCAGTAGATAGAGGAGAGCTGATAGCGTATAGTTAAGCGAATGGAGTAACGCTGCAGGGAAATACAAAGAAACAAGAATCAATCGTAAAGTGGAACTCGGCGAATCTAATTTTAAAGTAGCATAGTCCTTAAGTAGAAGTAGTCGAGTCAAGTTGTACGTTTGCATAGGCTTCGATACTTTTCTGTATACTTTTATTAATTCTTTACATTTAGGTAATATTGAAATTCAATTAGTTTTCAATAAACATTAGAGCAACATCTCTAGTTCCCATAATAAACATATCATCATTCTTTACATATTCATAAAAATCATTCTTTACATTAAATAAAGATGTATATATATATAGTTTTGAAAATTTGTCGAGACTTTGCTAAGGTCGATGTAGGTACAGTGAACCGACAAAATTAAGTCGGCTTAAAAATGTTTGTTGTAAAAACCAAAGAATAGAATAGAAAATTTTTAATGCTTGAATTTTTGGACTTTTCTTACTGTATAACGCCTATATACTATTCTTTACAAAAATTTTCAACTTGATTCACTTCTTTCCTTTTTCTGGTCTTTTTCTTTTTATGAAGAAGTTTAAAATTTTCTTTGCTGATATATTTGAAGTAACACCTGCTACAAATATCTTATTTTCCCAAATAGATGAACTTAAGTTCACTTCATTAATAAAAAACAAAAATAAGCAAAGCCGACAGCTTCATACCTTTCATCACATTGCCTAAAGCAAAACTTCACTTGCTTCATCCCCCCAGAAAATACTAATAATCGTACCAGGAATCCTATCTTTTTAAATATTTACTTTTTAGGGGAGAGGGATCGTTCGAAATACATGGATTGAAAATTTAGACAGAATTAATTTCTTTGTCAAAGATATTCACTTACTCTTTAATTATTTTTCCTACACCATACTAGTAATTAGACATTGTTGACATATAAAGGCTCAATCTTCTTGAGAACTCTCTGCAGTTAAAAAAATTGCTATGCGACTTTTAATTTTGCCAGAGTTAATTTTTTTTGTTAGAAATTTATTCCTTTTCACCTATTGTTGTCGTAAAATTTCCAAAGTTACATTTTTTTTTTACAATGGAAAGGGATTTAAGGGACTCTTATGAGGGGAAGGAGTAAAAAATTGGTCTTAAAAGGTGCGAATATACCATCGCAAAATAAGATGTCAAGTCGCTATTCTAAAACGCCTTACATCGTAGATTTCTAGAAACTCGTCCTGATTGTCATGTGCACGTTCAAATATATATATATAGGAAAGAGATCGTAAAATTGGTCCCATCTGATACAAAATTTTCGCATTTACTTTCGAGGTCCGAACGCTACTTTTTACCGATTTATGCCGAAAAACATTAAAAGGTATAATTTTTTTCTATATATGGAATTTTCCCGAAGGTGTCGTCTTCTGTGGACTGGTCATGAAGATGATCTCATTCAAAACATGCTCATATGCAAACTTTCGCGAAAATATATCAAAATTTGCGATCCGTGGGTTGAACCAAAGGATCCATGAGACTTACAGGATAGATTTAAATTCGACTCTGAAATTGTTTCTGATACGATCTTTCTAATAATAGGTGAGTGCGCCTTAGATCCTTCGGGACATCACCTAAAACCATTCTTATTATGCGAATGAGGTAAAGTATAGTAACATTTAGCTTGACTCAAACCGAAATTTTTAATGTCCAGCACTTGGTTTTCAAAAAAATCAAAACATTCGAAAATAAAGGCACTCTAAGACGGTTCCGAATTTATACAACCATAATTATAGCAAAGCAAACGCTAGCATATGCAGTTGATTCAAAGATTATTATGAAAGCCAAGTGACAGCTTTCTTCCTAATTCACTTCGGGCTTTAAGGTGATAAGGGTGATACGAAAATCAGATTAAGCATTTCAAATGAAGATTAGAAATTTCGGTCAAATAGCTAGAAATTGGTAAATCAATTTCGTTGTAATGATGAATAGGAACGACTTCAGCGAATTATTTTAATCGTATGGGGAATACAAAGAAACGAACATCATTTGTACATATATCGAAGAAAAACTAATTGTTCCCCATGACATCGCATCAGATTAAAGTATTTTTATTGTGTACGGTATAATTAAACTTAAAAGAAAGGATGACTCAATGTCTGCCAACACTTACTCTCTCCACCTTTTTCTCTATATGCCTAAAAGACGTCGTCGCATATGCTCAGAATTCCAAGTTCTTACATTTGGCTTCCTTATGCATAGTTATTTGTTGCCCTATGAAGTTGCTTAACAATATTTTGTGTTCACAGCTTGGCAAAAGCAGAAGCTAATGTTCTGAGATGCTGCGGCTGACAACGATACTGTTAAGTCTATGAATGCAGTAAAACATGTTATTTTAGTTTGTTTGAAAATACAGTAAATGTTTGTTGCATATTTTCTTAAGCTTCTCGTTTACACTTAAACATCCAAACATACGTAGACATTTATCTGTCTAAAGGTGGTTTATAATATTAGACATATGTATATAAGAATGTTTTTTGTTTCTTCTTTAGTACAAAACAAAAAACAAAAAACCATGAAATTTATTATGTCTGGAGTTTTTGTGTAGAAAGTTTTTTTTTTTTTTTTTTTTTGAGAGAAAAGAGTTAATAATGGCAAAATAGTTATTTATAGATTTGAAAGTTTTTCTATAATACATTTGCCTGAGTCACGACATTTGGAGTAATGATTATATTATTGCTAAGTAAACAATTATTTGTAAATCTCATGCACTTATGTGTTCAATAACGATCGTTTTTAAGAATTTTTGAAATTATTACAAAATTAATTTTTGCATACAAGTCTTTGACTGCATAACAGTTATTACGATAAATACAGGGCTTGCTAATGGGCCTTAAAAAAATTTATTTAAAATGAAGGCAAATTTTTATGCATAACTTTGTTAAATATTTACAATCAGGTTCAATGAATGACTTTCGAGAACAGCAGCAATATATGCATTAGATCTTTTGCTACGCTGCAGAACAATCTGCAGAGCTTTTGTACTCCTCGAACTCATTTATTAAAGGGCAAATAGTGACGTTAGTTGCGAGCACAAAATTCAACCAAATTTCCAGTTATTACTGCGATTGGAGATTTATTCAAATACCATCCAAGTCCCATTACCAGCATCTCGTCGGGGATGTTATTAAAAATATTGGCGATGAGCAATTCTCGGTTTAAGTCATGTTAACTTGAAGGCCAATCCGGTCTGTCTGTCTTTTAATTTTCAAGTCTTTGCCGATATCCTTATATGCCTTCACTTTTCGGTCTGATCATTTTTCCATCTACCTGCCTTTCCATTACCATTTTTCTGTTTTTCCATTTCTAATCCGTACTTCACCTGTTGTCAGATATTGACCTTAGATCAAGTAAACCAATAGACGTCTAAGGAATTTTGCGTATTATGACATTATTACTTGAGCAGAGTAAACCCTTAAATATATATAGAGTTAAAGCCCTAACATAGAAGACGATTCTACATCACTTAGAGGACTTATACTATATGGTGTACCAGATACGAGAGTTGTGCATTATGGTCCAAGGCGAGGCCTATCTAAAAAATTTAAACATTTGATATCCCGCGAAAACATCCACCGCAACTATGCTCTTCGTAGGGCTGTACTCATCTATCAAATCTCTATAGCTCCCAAGCCGAGATTCCATACGTCTTAAGAAATTCGTGCGGACATTCTTTGTTGTCGGCGACATAATGGATAGCATCCCGACGCTCATGGTTCTCATAGTTCCTACTAAAGTCCTTTCAACTATAGAGAATTATGCGGTACTTAGTCACTCTTGCGTTTTAGTCATCTATACATCCTGGAGTGTCTTCCTACTTTGTCTCCATGGTTTTCAATATCCAAGAAGAAATGCCGACTCCATAATCCCAAGCACCCAATAATACTAGTGCCTCTTCCGTCCCTTCAATAACATTACCTGTGTTAATCATGTGCCTCTAAAGTAGCCAAGTGCTCAGTAAAACGACTTCCGTCAATCTTCTTCAAAGAGTGTTTTCCTCGTCGAGTTTCAGGCAGAGGGCTTTTTTTACATGTTGCGTATAGTTTGTGTATTCGCCAAAGCCATCAAAAGAACAAGTGCAAAAAACACCACGATGCGTTATCTGCATTGGCTATAACTAACAAATTGTTTTCAAAATCTTGTATATTGCTTCGAGGCAGAAGCTTACTTTTTGGAAAACGGATACTTTTATATATGTAACAATTAATGCAATGGATTTAAGACATACGTGTTTATTTTCAATGAATTTTCCACTTCAACACTTCGCATGTATCAATTATGAAGTGACCAAATTCATATTGGATTATGCGTTCCACAGTCACTATCTTTAACTTGTCCAAACATGTTTTTACTCAAAAGAATTTATTCAAAAACCAACTTGATTTTTTTTTTTTTTATTAATCACTTTTTGTTGAAAATATTATTTATGACATTTTTCTTCCTTCTCGTAAATCTCTCAAATACACTAAACCCATGCGATCATTTAATTTTCTCTGAATGGGATTTCCTTGACTCACAGCCGTCTGTGCCAGCAGAGGATACAAATAATGAAAAGGAATTTTCATATCTTTGTCATCTTCATATGAAGAAGTTTCAATATCCTCACTGACTTTGGCAGGAGATTGTGTTGACACTTCCGATTCATTCTTGAGTTGTTCCCGTTCTTCTTCTTTTAGAGCAGAATTAACACTGGACGCGATGTGGGATGTGTCTAAAATCTGTCCTGCTTGAGAAATACCCGGTACTTGAGTTAAAAGTGGACGTTGACCAACATGACCTGTTTGACCCGTAATTTGCGGTTTGGAAGGCAAAAACCCTTCAACATGATTTGTAGGTTTTATATTGGGCAAAAGGCCTTCGAATAAGTTCGACGGTTTAGATCCAAAAACGAAAAGAATCGGCAGAAAATTCGTGCCGGAAACGTAGGAGAGCAAAGGATGCGGCTGGGCGTTTAACGGCAAATGAAAATTTTGCGGTGGAGCGTTGCCCGGCAAATGAAAATTTTGCGGCATTCCTAGTCCGCTATAGGCGAAGGCGGGAGCGTTTATATGCGAAAGTAAGTTTGCTTGGGTGTCGCCGTAGGGAGGAGAAGGATTGTAGTTATATAGAATGGGAAACACGGAAGCTGGAGGTTTTTCAGATTTCTCCGAGTTTATCCAAGGCAACCAGTCAAATCTGTCGAAAAAAAATTTCTGGAAAGCTTCAGAAAAAGAGTTCATTTTAAAAGCAAACCTTATTAAATTATATATGAGATTATTCTACCATTTTCGTTTGAAGGCACTCTTTTAAGAGATGACTCCTCAGCCAAGCCGACTCGTAAGGACAAGCAAACAGTAACAAATATTACTATACACGGCTCTTTAATTACGGCCATTTAAATGGTTTATATGTCACTTTATAACTAATTCGAATTCGAGTATATTCACTGCTACTTATAGCAAAAATCATTTGAATAATCAAGTTTTTACTAAAGAACGAACGAAAAAACAACAACAACAACAACAAAAAAAGGTAAAACAAAATATAGTTCATCTATTTGTATGTACTCTTAGAAATCACTGCATTAAAAATAAAATTTAATTAATTGCAAACAACCAACGTTTACCAATCAACTTGAAATGAAAGAGCAGATGATGTGTCTGTAGAAAAGTCATTGCCCTAAAGAAGATGGTAATTAAAAGTTTTATAACTGTTTAAGTAACACAAATGTTGCGTATTTCTTTTATTTTCGTTATTATTATTATTGTTTGCTCCGCTTCTTCTCGCAGTTTTTATAGCAAATTTTTATAGTTGTTTCTCTACAAATCAATCATTAAAGCCCTTGTAAAAGTATACATAATTACTATAAAGTTTATAAGAGCGCGCTAGTTAATCGTCTCAGATAAGCACGTATACACTATAAGCACACACACGCACACACACGCACACACACAATCAATCATGTAGCGAATATATAATTTTGTAGTAAACAAACTTTATATACTATCTGGCAAAATTTAATGAAATTTAATGAATATTTAAATAATTTTTTTATGGCAGGCCGGTTATCAAATCAGAGAAAATTGTGTATAATTTATGAAAGAGAAGAAATTAAAAATCTTTGCTAATAGATAAACATTTATAGAAAAGGAAAAGGTTAAATTCAATTTATTGTAATCAAAACAAATTGCAAACAAAAAGCAATTATCTAAAATAACTAAAAATTATTTTCACCAAAAATGGATGGCTGTGTTCTTATTCAAAAAAAGAGATGAGAAAGTGAGAGAATTTCTTTTAACACTAGAACATACCGACCGACTTGCGTTTTCCTATCGATATCCTCGATCTCGTCGCTTTTGTTCAATTGCCGCTATCGCAAGAGAGTCTGGCATAAACATTTGTTGAATGATTAAGTTTCAAAAACGGCGGCAACATGTCCACATGCAAGCCCACATTAGCAAAAAACTGAGACGACCTGGGAAGACCACCGATAATTTTGTCATAATTTTGTCTGTAGCTTTTCGGTCACCCGTCAATTCCCTTTAATTGGGTAAATGTTCGGTCCAAAAATCATCCCAATCGGTTCACTAATACATCTATAATTAGTGATAGAATTTTAATTCGAATTTATTTCCAACTTGTTTGCAATTTATTTCTAATTGGATGAGGAACACGCTAAAGTAAGTCTTCTCAACGTAGTCGCAATTTCAAGTCTATTGTCAGCGTGTGAGCGTGGGTGGGCCACAACCACTTTCTGGCTTTAGACTCTTAATCGATCAAGAAATATTTGTGGCCAAATTTTAGCTTTCTAACTTTAGCTATGCGACTGTGGCAACACGGCGGGAAAGCAGATCAAAATGCCCTTTATTAATAGGAATAGGTATATGATTTCGACATCTCGGAAATTGGCCTACGTATAAAAAGCGTGATTATAGATATCGAAGATTGTCCTCTCACCTAAACACCAGCAAAAAAAGCGATCAAAATGTCGATCTCTTGTAGTTTCAGTGTTAAAATTAGTTATAAAATGCTTAACCGGAAATAATTTGATTCCATGTTTTCTGGTAGGTCATAATAATTTCAATTTCTCATTATTTTTTTTTTTTATTTATTTATTTGAATTTGTTAGCATCTATAAAATCATAGGCCGATGTACATAGTTACATTAGCGTAAACTATTTGCGTAGAAAGAAGTGAAGGTTTTTCAAGTGGAGTTGCTTGGCTCTATCAACAACCATTGTGGTTGTCAATTGCTTTTATCAGGCGAATTCAGACGTTTACTAAAAATGAAAGCAATTTTCCCTTAGAAGAATTAAAAAGTTCATCAAAGGATTTCAAAGCCTGCCATTATCGAACTGAACGGACAATACACAAACACTCAGTCAAAGTCTTAGATATACGCGGGATTAACATAGAAGGTTTCTACTCGACCTCCTATTATATATATATATATGTAAATGTAGATCTACTAAATGACTCTGGTAGCTCTGATAGTCTCTGAAGAAATGTGAATAAACGATAGTAAATCACATGTTAGCACGTTGTTAATTGCCCTAAAGAAGCAGTTTTCTTATGCCAGAGAGAGCTAGATAATGCTTACGTAATGATTTCTATCATAACTGTCTGTGGTTTCCAGTTATATAAAGTTCATTCTAGGTCGACATAGGATCTGGTGTAAAAAATATATTGCCGGCACATAGCCGACATAAAAGCCCAAAGGTGTAATTCATGGCAAGTAAAAGCCGTAGGAGTTTTATTTAGAAATTTTTAATTGAGAAGCATTTGCATGAAAGTGTTAAGAGTTAGAAAGACTTCAAGTTTCGACAAAAATATCTTTTGTTAGTAAAAAATGCTTAAATTTAAGAAAAATATCCTACGTACCCCGAATCGAAAACTGTATTTTAAATATATCGCAAGTGAAATACGCCTAAAAGAAATGTAAATTCTTGGAGTTTCGTTATTTGCTTATATAAAACATCGCTTTTCGTGAAAAACGCGTTTAAACTTTTCAAAAATATTACATATATATATTTGTGTAAGTATACGTTTTCTATTAAAAAACTTTTTTATGGATTTTTTCCATTAATCTGTTATCCCAAAGCTGAACTCCCATGTTCAAGTTTTCTTCCTCAGTCCCTTGTCTGGAAGGTCGTTTGCTGGAAAGTGTCGCTTTTTTCCGGAAATGTCACTTGTTCCGGGCTGCAAACTGGCAAAGAAACGCAGGGTTCTTTAGCTCGATGAGCGACGAAAAACTTTATCACCTACTTTTAATATCTTAGCGGATATACTGATTCTCAACCTACACGAACACATTTCTGTTTGGAAATGTTTTTATATAAACATAAATACTTTCTAAAGTCATTATGTAAAACTTTCCAGTTGGTGGTTTTTCCGAAAAACTTGAAGACACATCGCAAGATAAGACAAGAAAAGAGAGAGACTTTTAAGGAATCAATTCTTTCATACAAGAATATCATTGTCTTAATAAAATTTCGATGTAACAAAATTTCAAAAGTAGGCATCACACACTCCATGAAATGTACAAATTTTTATCAACCAAAAAATATGAATCTCTTCCCCTTTATCTGTCCATTGTCTACAGTTGAAGCATATATACGTGGCGATTGGGATAAATCGATAAAACTTTTTTATATACTTTTCTAAGCGACGGCCATAGAACAAATGAGAAACAATTGTAATTTGTTGACTGACACTCACGCACACTCGCATAAAAGCAATAATAATTTCCAAAGAATAACAACGAATGGCATAAATATTAAGGCAAATGTGGACGAATACAATATTCATACGATACGAATATCATATTCCTTATTATATTGTTGCAACCCAAGTAAAAGCTAACTTAGCATAATTAAATTCCGGATATTAACTGTGCGCGCATACACGATTGAAGGGCAGTTAAAAAACCTACAATGAACCGAACTGTGATCTAGTTATGAAAAAAGCTACCAAATAAGCAAATTCCATTTAGACAAATACAGATTAATACCTACTAGGGCTACCGCAATCATAACATACATAATATCGACCTAAGGGTTTCGCCGTCACCGACTTATTAAGAAAAGTAGATTACGAAGATTATGGACAAAGCAAATATAGCTTTAAATACAATTTTTTTTTTTTCGATACAGCCTACGATAGTAATGTCAATATAAATGGTGGTTGTGGCCATAAAAAAAATTCGGTCTAAGCTAAATAACGTTTTTCCTTCTTTTCCCCCTTTTTCTTTTGGTTAATCGTTTTCGTTGATTTACACAATCATTATTTATTTTATGATGATAATAGAAAATCGAATTAATCTCTTAATATAAGAATCAGTCAGGTGCCGTAAATTTATTTTTATTAACGTATAGACTTTTCAATTGAATCAGCTGCCGCAAAAGTTAATTCGGCTGAATGAGAATTGTTAAGGGGATCCATAAGTAAATGATTTGTTCTGCCTTTAGCTTTGTACCGACAGCTGAAGAAGAACCATTCTTCTGCAACTTTCGGTAAAGAAATCTATATAGAATATATTCTAAAAAGTATAATTTCTGCTTCCACCCCGGTAACAAAATGGCGGCATTAATACATTCCGAGGATCATATAGGCCATTGCATGCTTTTTATAAACATCGCCGACGGGTGAAGAGTATAATTATTTTATCAAAATGTTCGCAATGCCCAGAAGAAAGCTACAGGGACCCCGCATGTTCTTGATCAGCATCGAATTCTGAATCGATTTAGGCGTGTCCGTCTGTCCGTCTGTTTAATGTCTGTCGTAAATAATCTCCTGACCGCAAAAATGAAGCCCTCAACTTCGAATTGGAAATTCTTGCATGCAGATTGACATTGAAAATGGTCCAAATCGGCCTACAGTACAAGGTGTATGAAAAACATCTCTGTTCCTCAAAAGGCGGGTTATTTGCTTATTGCTGATTGTGAAGTACAGCAGATAAATAGACAAAAATTTGGATGTACAAGCGGTCGCTGTATAAAAGCGGGGACAAGTTGGCCATGTCTACATAATATTATAGGGTATCAAAATTTAACATTCGAGCAGAAGCAAGCTTCAAATACCCTATAAAGTATTTAAATTATTGGCCAGTCTCAAGCTCGAAATGCACCTAAGCCTGGGGGTTAGTTCGCCTGCCCATCCTTCTGTCTGGCCAGCTGCCGAGCATCGTAAATATGTAAATATTCGAATTATGCGACAAAAACTGCAAACACTTTGCTTTCGGTGTTTTTTGCCTGCTGCTCGTAAAGTACAATACATACACTACCTAAATTTTTACTCTTACTGTGAAAATAGAAAAAAACCGGAAATCCTACCCAATATTATAATGAATGTATGAAAACTGACTTCATTTCTTCTCTTTTTTCGTTTTTTTAAGCATAAAACATTCGGTCACAAAGGAG